AATTTCGAGTGAAATATATAGCGAAATAGGCACCAAGTTTTGGAATAAGATGACTGCGACCCAGAAGGTAATGAGACCGGTAACAGCAGGTGTACTTCCGTATGACCCAAAATCGAAGTAGTCAAGCGATGCATCAGGATCACCCCAGGCGATCCCGTTGCCAATGCCACAGATAAGGCACATTATGAATAGAATGATGAAGTTATATATGACGTTCCAATTAAGATCCTTGGCGAGCCGAGGCTTTTTGGAAGGAGTTTCACCAGAGTTCAGCATGACCTTGGTTTCTTCTCCGGTAAAGATAACGACTCCGAGGGCCCATTCTGTATTGCGAAGGAAGCAACCGCGGAGGAGCACGTTGTTGATTGTTATCGGCTCAACCATCTCCTTTCGAGGGGTGTCTGAGTAGGTTGGATCGCGCTGTTCCCAGCGCAAAGCACCATTGTAGGCATACAGGTTCGGATGAGGAGCCTCGCTATCAATCACGAACTCACATTTTTCGCAATCTCTAGCATGTCGAACTTGACGCCCACAATTTAAAGCTTGCCTGACCTTCAGGTTCGTTTCACCATCCAAACTCTTCGTTTCCACGTAGCACGCGCCGTCCGGGTCGGAAGTCGAGAGCAGAACGATATCAGCGGGGATTTGATCCCCATTGTACAAACGAACAAAGTCTCCAACTTGGATATTTTTCCAAAAGTCACGCTTGAAACGAGCATTACCCAGCGTCTGCTTTGACATATCCACTATACTGCCGCCTTTCGGTGGATGAGCAGCAGGAGTTGGAGTAGCCAAGCTATCCCGAGCCAATTTGTCGGGGTGCAAATATTGGTCATGATTGCCACCTGGAAGTGGCCAGTCCGGGCGTGCCTCTGGTGCTGGTGTGGAAACGGGAGTCATCTGGATAGCGTCGTCCTCGTCTTGCTGGGAAGACATTGAAGCCCTTGGCGATACGGTCGTCATAAATGTCAACCGCCGGTTGTCTTTGATTTGTTGCTGAGAGTTCTTGTTCTTCTGGACAAGGCCCTTCATCGCCCTGTAGGTCTGGACCGTCGCCCTAGTACACGCTTTTTTGAACTGGCGCCAGAGAGATACATTATCCTCGGTCGAATTCACGTTGGTCCAGTCTATTAAGCGGTATACGGGAGAATTGTTCAGTTCGTTGTCCAGAACTGTACGCCGAAAGTCTTCGATGGCATCTTTGATCGAGGTAAGCACAACAATGACGATAAGAGGCACGGTGTTAAGGGCGGGATCAGAGACGCCGAAGATCGAGAAAAACTAGATCTTTCAATGAGCTTTTCCGGTACTCTGCACTATATCTCAAGGATAGGGTCATACACTCAGAATAATGATGAAGAGGAAATAGATATTTGCAATGTTCTGGAACTGGAACCAAATGTTTTTCGGAACGAAAGACAAAGCAGTATATTTTGCGGTCCGGATCTTGTTTCTTGGATACGCTGCCATGGGACGGCCGTCTTCGTCCCTTTCACTCTCCGGTATAGGGATATTGAAGTAAATGCGTCTGTTGCTAGACCCCGTAGGGCTTTCCGTGCTTGTAGTTGTTTGTTGAGAAGTGGGTGACTTCATTGACGTAGGGGAATTGGCTGTACTTGTTTTCGGCATCTCCTCCTTCGCATCTAGGTTCTTCTTATGCAAGCGATCCACTATTGAGACGCGCTTCCGGGTGCCGCCTGCGCCGGCTCTGCGTTGTGTTGCCCATCGTTGGCGCTTTGTCGGTTTCGAAACGTTGCTGCTAACCTCCCGGATGTCGTTACCACTGTCATTGAACTCTGCGCCCAAGTCGATTGAAGCCATTTAGGCTACTGTCAGCCCTATCAAGGGCATAAAATGAGCGATGTGCTGATTGAACCGTTGAAAAGATAGCATCCGCAGCGACGAGCTGGACTCCGGCAGCGCAGCCAGCTCGCGAGATCGACTTGTTATTTCCGTCGCGGGTTTTGTTTTGAGTGCAGTAGGAAATCGAAGGCCGTATGTACAGGGACTGGTGAGTAGGCGTTCGCAATTTATGCTGGTAGGCGCTTAAGTAGGTCAAACGTGAACGAGAAGGAATGAAGCGTCAATTAACACCAAGGGACACCCAAACACAAGGCAGTCAGGAAGGTGAAACGAGCGGAGGGGGAAAAGATCGAGGGTTACTGAGGATTATGCATTCGTGTGCCATTAACGAAGGAATGTCGAGGGCAAAGCAAACGAGAAGAAAGAAACCAAGAAACTCATGCAAAAAAGGAACCGGTCCTCCAGAGGCAAGAGTAAGAAAGAGGCTTAAGGACAGCGTCAGTTTCTTGGAGAGCCAGCCCAGCCGATAATCCCTCCTGGAGGGCCCCCGGGGGGAGCAGACGGACGGCTGTGTAATACAGGCACAATACGGGGAGTGCCAAAAGGTGTAACTTTCCAGTGTTTGTCAGCTCCGTATGGTAAACATGCCCTCCCCGACTTTGTAAATTTTCAATTGTAACCGGGCAGATGGGTCGGTCTCCAATCAGATGGACTTTGGGTTCATGTTTCATCTACATGGAAACTACTAAGCAACTCCTGGATATGATCCATGAAGTGATTACTAGGCCTATGGGGGTTGCTGTTTACCTATGGATGCTGTAAGTCCTGCGCCGGGCCCTCGTCAGGTACCTGCCTCACCCCTGCTACGGAGTACAATCGAGCACAACAACAACAACAATCGCCACTATTATCTCCTGTGTACCAATTATGATGTCTGAAGACAATGGTAATTTTCCCTATCATGATTGTTCGTCTCAATGGTCATCTGAAAATTCTCTACTGTGTACAGATTTCCACTACAGCCTACTTCATGGTGTGTGGAATCTCCGACCGGGTTTACCAGCCTCGCCCTAGACTGCGCATGGGTACATTTGAGGACGCTGATCAGAATGGAGCCCTTTCGACGTTGGTCTTCTTACTACTTTGTGTGTATCCCAGGCCCCTCTTCGACGGAATTATCGGAATTCCGTGAATCTGGTCGGTTTTCATCAAACTGCGCGAACGATGTCTTGGTTTATTATTTATAGACACCGTGTCTCCGGTTTGCCCTTCTTCATCTCTTCAGTTCTTCACTTGCACACCAATCGGATGTCATGGCAAGTAATGGCACCTCCAGTCGCACTGCTTAACTTGAAGCTGATCTCCCGCCATCCCAGCAATGAGACATTTTAATTACTCCCCTAAGGGAGGAATTGGACCGCCAGGATGTAACATGCATGGATAGGCAAGACAACAGCGTATAGATATGTTCAGGCCGGACCACTCAACGACCCTTCATGGAACGGAAGCTGTCGCGTTAGATGGTAGGCTTCCCCTTCCTCCCGTACTCCGTACCTTGGGGGTGCTTGGGAGTCTGGGTCGGGATACGGAGCCTGAAACAGGCTAACAGCCGTCCGGGACGGCACATGCTGGTGGCATCCATGGATAGGTCCACCTACGGAGCGCGGAGGTTCGGAGGTACCACAGAAATCCGTGCTAACTACATATATTGAGCCAACGGTCCTCCTAGTCTTGCATTGTAGAATTGCACATGGACTGTGCAGGGTCTACTAGCACCAGTGCGCTTCAGGATCCCGGATCTAAAAGCATCCGTCTTCAATACACTCATGTCTATTGTTCCCCAGGCACGGGTACCTGACATTCTCGTTCCCCTTTTGCCCAGTCATGCTTCATGCATATTCTACTCCTTTTCCAGTCTTGGCTGCTTCTGTTAGTGGGGAGACCAGTCTTCCTGATGCGGTTTGGCGCGGTCCCATACCTATTGCGCGTAGTTCATACTAACCTTTACTGTTTATGGGGGCTAGAAGAAGATCACTCTGTGACTGTTTCAGTAAGCCAGATCCTATAACCGATCATCTAACAATGAGCGTGGAGGTATGTTTGGCCATATGAGCATGAAACGCTTTATTTTTTTTATTGCTGTGGACATTCAAAAGATGTGTCCTTCAGTTTTATGTTTCAAAATTATACACCCAATTCCATTAGCACAAACAAATCTCGATGTCCACCCTGGGCGGGAGGCTGAGTAGGCAGTCCCGTTACGTACCCCCAAAACTCGGCTAATTTACCATGATTCTCCCAATTTTTAAATACCTCACGAACTTGCGATTTCGCGTTACAGTCTCTACCCTTAGCCGTGGGGGGCCGCAATATTTCCATCGACAAATGACTGTGCTTTGAGCATATTTTCCCATTTATATAAAAACGGATCTCGAAAATATATGCCTGCAAAATGTTTCATTAGGCGATTTTACCTACCCCTTTGCCAATTTCGAACCCGGCGGCTTCCAAACAAGACCGACCGCAGCCTGCAGCTGCATCCACATCCGCATGGCACCACCGGAAGAAAGGAAAAGGCTGATTGAGTAAACAAGGAGGCCAACTATCTAAGTCCTGCCATGTACAGAGAACTTCACTCTGGTGGGCATCTCCCAGCCCCCAAAGCAGAGATATGACAGATTGGCGTCAGATGGTCAGATCAACCTTGAACCGGTGTGGGGACTACAAAGTACTTTAGAGATAGATCTGCACCACTTTTCCATCCCTGGACCGCGCCCAAATACGATCCTGCGAAAGAAAAAAACAAAAATTCTATTCTGTCTACTGTGAGTAGTGATGTACAGACTATTGGCAGGTTGAGCCAGCCGTGTAACTATCGAAGGCTAGGAAGTCAGCAGAGCCTTGTAAAAGAGCTGTACCCTTTTTGGCCCCAGTGAGTCGCAGATAGTGAACATAGTTAGCTTGGGGTCTGAACAGCAAAAATCACAAGGAGGTCGACAATCAAGCGGATTTTCAGGGAGGCTTCCCCAGAGCAAAGGGTAAGTAATGTAGGGCACGCGAGAATACAGTGTTCGGTTCACCAGAAAAGGATCGAGGATCGATGGAATGGAATCAAGGACGCATAATCATCGGAGTATTGGACTACCCCTACATTAACGGTCATGGCGCATGGAGAAGCTGACGCACCACTGGTGAATCGGCGCGGTACATCACAATCTGGAAGAAAAATAGATCGAATTAGCAGTGACAGAGAACAACTGTCTTTGGCAAGTCGGCTAAACTACTACTAGCAGTATTACTGACTGCCCAGGTATTCAAAATCAATAGTCGATACCAGTCCATTTCCTGTACCCGTTTTGGGAAATGAATAGACAATGCTGAGTCATGGTCATGTGACCACGCGCCCTGTAGCACGCGCCCAGCGTGTCCAACAGAGGCTAAGTGCGGAGATCTACCGAACAAAGCATGCGGGTCATACTCTGCAGCATAATATATCCCCTTCACCAAAGTGTCCGGCATGCGACGCATTACCAGTTTCTTTAATCGTCCGGCTTTTGCAGCAGTGAACCCAGGCGCTCAGACCAGTGACCGCGGCAATGATCTCGATCAGCCATCTCACTCGTCCCCGCAATCTCGCCATTCAAATGGCCCCTCTTCTTCATCAGCGGAGCCAGACACCCAGCTAGAACTATCTTTATCCCAATCCATAAAGGATGGCGAGAATGAAGCTCTGCCTCACCACAGCTTCCTCAGCACAGAATCTGCAGCTAAGGATCCATCCCCAGGAACAAGTTTCAATTCATCGCAACGTGTTATGAAGAACGGAAAAGAGGTTGTTATCAGCTCCGATGGCGAGGATACAGATTCATTAAGCTCGTTTGAGTCTCCGGATGATCTTCTTGCGAGAATTGTTAAGCCTCCTGGTTTTGTAAGCAAGGATGATAGAGAGAATGATACGTCTAATTCAGCAATGACCTTGCGGAACGGCAGCGTGAACAGCGCAAAGTCAGGCAATCGGTCTCGCTTTCCAACTAAGGTCCCAAAGTACAGCAACACGCTAGACTCGCTTGTCGTCCAAGCAGTTGATGATAATGAAACTGAGGCTGGTATTGCGAAGTTGAAAGCTGCTCTTGAGAAGGAAGATGTGCGAAAGAACGGCAAGCAGGATGATGTGAAAAACAATTCTACTATACCGACCACACAGCTAAATGAGAATACACTCGCATCGGCTCTGGGTGATCAAGACGATGAAATGGGGCTGCGACGTCTTCTAGACGCTGTTCGAAGAACAGAGGCTCTTGACCTAGACAAGTCATGGCACTTTTTTGACTATAAAAGCGAATTACCCCCAGCGGTTGACTTTCCCAAAGACTGCATAGATAAGGACGGTTATATGTTCCGACTACGAGGTCAGTATACGGTACATGCTGTTGATAGTAGTCTCGTGACTGATTCGTTAGACAGAGAGGCTTTCAAGGGAGCGGGCACTCCATTCAGGCATTATCGATTTTGCTCTATCGCGGTCATATTTGCCAGACGAGGTCATCTCGTGGATCTTCAAAGCTGGTTCGTGTGGGTTTTCGTCAGCCTATTCTCATTGCTTACGTTCCCTCAGTACCTTCAGAGACGCAAGACAGCATCAGGCAAGCGCTTTGTAGAGCCTTTAAAGTCAGTGACTATAACAAGTCGGGGTGAATCGTGGCGTAGTTTGCTGATCTTGCTTAGAATGCGAACCCTGAGCGGGTCAAGTCTCTCATAAAACCGGCCGATATCGATCAAAGTTTTCAACAGTTGGGAGCAACCTCCCAAGCATTGGCGACTTCTGAAAAGATTGTTCCAGACGCGCACATCAACAGTACGTCATCGCATTAGCCTCAGCACAAGCATCCATTGACGGTAATATGCAGAACATAATGTGAAGAGCAACTCCCTACGTGAGGGAATGCTGGTCTCTGTCCTTGAGTTGCTCAGTGGGGCTGCAGACCTGTATGTGTTCGAAAATGTGGTTATACGTACACAAACTAATCTTTGCATTAGGCTTGCAGAGGATACTCGAGAGCGCGCACTGAATCTACTATTCCGTCTCACTCTCGATGTCTCATTGACCAGCAATTTTCTGGTCTGTTCTGAACTAGAGAGGACCATCGTCACCATGCTAGAGAGTGCCCCTGACGATACAGCCGATGACATGGTATGGTCAAATTTCTGTCAGATTTTCCAAACCTCGCTAACACAACTAGGTGCATCGTGTTTGCACGACCGTATTCGATACAGTCAAAGATGCGATGTCACAGAGTCGCCTGGTTAGGCATATACTTCCAACCTCAGACTGGCTCGCACTCATCCGGTGCCGCCTCGCGGTGTCCTTCTTGTTGAATGATGCTTCACCACTGATTGAGCCGCCAGAAAAGCTCATCAATTTGAAGCGTATAACCAGCATCCTCAATCAACAGCGGTTCGATGTGAAGTGGTACAAAGGGAAGGGGCAGCATGAGTACGATTACGGAGAACTTGGGGCTGTCGCCATTCTTCTTAACATTGCCATCGATTCTGGACAATATGAAGTGGAGTTTCCAGATAAAGAAGCGGAGATAAAATTCAACGCTGACGTTGATGCTCTTTCTGATCGGCTCAAAATCATCTTCACTTCCATTGAGGACTCGGGTGCCTCCCACTTGAAACGAACGTTGGCTAAGGAAGCCATCGAGGCTCTACATTATCGAGTCGTATATTCCGTCAGGTCAAAGCCACGTCCCAAAAAATCAATCCTCGGGGTTCCTGAGGAGCGAAGAGAGAACAAAGGCGTGTTCAAATCATTCTTCAAGCCTCCGAAAGGCAGCGATGAGCTGCCATTGCGGCCACATGATACAGCATCCTGATTTGTCGTCCACCGCCGAGATACAACACCTGCTTCCAGTGGTAGACCCTTTTAATAATTTTGCTCTCTCGTCAAGAAGAATGGACTACGCTGATGTTTCATTATAACGATGGTTCGTCGGGGTATATGCACTCAAACGCGTTGATGTTGGCATTAGCGTGCACACTGGCCGGTCCAGGTGCTTGTTATAAACATTCAATGATAACAATAAAAGGTCGAGGGTGGTAGATGGCTAGACTCAGGGTTGGAGTCGACAAATGATGATATGTGGCGTCAGGCTTGATTGTTGTTCATTTGTTTTGTTTCTTATTTTGTTCGGGATACCTTATTGATTAGTCCTGTGAATCCTAACGCTATTGTCCTGGGGGCCATTGTTGGGAATTTGTTGCGCGATATAGTTGAACCACATTGGGTTGCTCGTCATACTATAGATATAGTGAAACATGCACGAAAGTCTCGGGCTTCAACAACTCTGTGCTATGCAGCAATATATACATATATCTCCTATGTTACTCCTGCGGCAATTACTAAGAGTATGCGGTACCATCTTTCCTCCGCGAAATGCTCGAAATATCCAAAGCAAACCGACGTTCTGGGATGAACTCTGTTGAATTCCTGATAGGAAGAATTGAAGAACTTTATACAAGGCTATGGTGCTCTCCTGAAAAAAGAACCGGAGTACATAGATACAGGCTGCAACGACGAAACAGGTTCAGGTATTGTAAATTCGCTTGGCAAGAGACACATATAATTGGTCTAGTCATAGAACCTCCGGTTGGTGTTCTTGCCGAACAGTGTCTCGCGGACGGCGGGGAGGGCGTCGATTTCGAGCAGGCGCAGCCGCTCTTCGAACGTGTTGTTGATCTCGATCTTGCCCTGACCACCAATGATGACGACACCACCAGCACTATAGTTGAGAAGGTTAGATCATATAGGGTGCAGACTTGGGAGATCAAGAAAGGGGAAAGGGGACTCACGATCCCTCAGGCAGCGGCTCCTCCTCGTCCAGCTCCACAGACGTTTCCTTGCCGACGGTCTCCTTGAATTCCTTCGCGGCCTCTTCGATAGCCTTCTTGACAGCATCGGTATCCTGCTTCCTCGCCCGAATCGACACCTTGTCTTCATTGAGAGCGTACAAGCCCTCGAGAACCAAGCCCTTCAGCACAGCCTCATACTTCTCCGCATCCTTAGCTGCGATACCGGAGATCTGATCACGAGCCTGCTGGAACAGATCATCAAGAAGTTCCTGGCGAGACGAGAGAACACGGAGACGGGTGCGGTTGGCGAGAGTAGAGCGAGTGATCTGCTGGGACATGGAAGCTTGCTTGAACTTCTTCTCATACTGAGTGTCGATGGCGGCAGTCTCCTGACGGACGAGCTTAGACTTCTCGATAGCGAACTCTTCGTCGGCTTTGAGCTGGATTTCACGGGCCTTCTCCAGCGCTTCCTGCCGGATGAAGGCCGTCATCTTGCGGAGCTCGCCCGCAACCTGGGTTGGAGATAACGATTATGAGCTCAGCTCGGGAGCGGGCACATGCATGGTCCCTGGTCGAGGATCGGGCGACATACCTGGTCATCGGACAACGCATGGCTTTGCGACATGATGATGATAGAGTAGATGTATAGATCGGGAAGATGTAGAGGGGAGAGCGAAGGGTATCGATATGTGTGGGGGGGTTATGGAAGAGAGACAACGTCAGTTTGAGCTTCCCGATGCGGAGGTGCCTTTGGGGGGCGGTCAATCAACGTCAGCCTGCTACTGCGCTAGATTCAAGGGGGTGGAAATAGTCAACGGTCATGGATCGCGACCGGTATATTATTGGAAATAGAACAAGTCGGGGACTATTATTACTCACCTGGACCGGCAGGAATGTATAGAGAGGGGAGGGTGAGTGACTGGGGTGGGGGAGATAATACAGGGAGAACAAGCAGCGGAGGGAAACGTTGCACTTGGGCGGATCTGCTGATCGATTCGCAACGCAACTTGGCGGCCGCTCAGGAACTCACTTGCTCTCCCGCTTTCCCCCTCTAGTTACTACTACTTACTGCTGCTGCTTCTTCCCCCACAGCCATTCGGTTCGATCTGGTCCTCTCTTTTTCTCTCTCTTGGTTTCTACGTCGTCTTTGGACAATGGAGTCGGTCTTACTAGTCCTGTCGTATCCTGTCTAATGCGTGTCTCTGGTCTTTGTCCCCCGGCTCAGCGACCAATGCACGAGGATATCCGAGATGGGGAATCTTGGTGACCTATCGCCCCAGGGGAGTGTCGCGGTTTGTTCTTCCCCTCCGGTGTTCTCGTCTCATTGGTATCGAGCTTCTGTGCTAACTGGAAAGCGTTTCTAGGTTGGGGTGGTTGTCGGGTTGATCTCGACCAGTCTCCAGGCCATCGGGCTAACCCTCCAACGCAAGTCGCATATCCTCGAGGACGAGAAACACCCGTACGATATACGTCGACCACCTTATAAACGTCGGAGATGGCAGGTCAGCTCATGCTCCTCCCTATACAGTGCTTCCGCTATAACCCGGTTTTGCTGATTCCCATGTAGTTGGGGATGCTGATGTTCGTCATTGCGAACATCGTCGGCAGCACCATCCAGATAACTACTCTCCCGCTTCCGGTGCTTTCAACCCTTCAAGCAGTCAGTGACTTCCCTAGATCAGCTAGTGAATTTCCCGGGCACCGCTAATTATCTGTTGTACCAGTCCGGGCTTGTTTTCAATACCATCTTTGCTACTTTGATCCTGGGTGAAGCCTTCACCAGATACTCGCTCATCGGCACAGTCTTGGTCTGCATCGGCGCGCTCCTGATAGCGGTTTTTGGCGCCGTCGGGGAGCCAGCGCATACTCTCGATCAGCTTTTGGAGCTACTGCAGCGTCGAAATTTTATACTTTGGATGGCAGGGACGGCCGTATTGGTGCTGGTCATCTATCTCGGCTCCCGCCTGCTGAAATTCCTAGCTTCTCCATCTCGTTCTAAATACCCCAACACCCGCGGTGCATATAGGCCGCACCTGCAAATTTCCCACGGACGTGTTCGACTGATCCGCGGTCTATGCTATGGCATGATCAGTGGAATCCTATCGGCGCATTCTCTTCTGCTCGCCAAATCAGCCGTGGAGCTCCTTGTTCGGACGGTCGTGGATCGCGTCAATCAATTCGATCGCTGGCAGTCTTGGGTCATTCTTCTCGCCATGATCGGTCTTGCTCTCTCACAACTATTTTATCTACATCGGGGCCTGAAGCTATGCAGCACCAGTGTCTTATACCCATTTGTCTTCTGCATCTATAACATTATCGCCATCATAGATGGATTAATATACTTCCGACAAATGTCCCAGCTGGCGGGCTTCCATGCTGGGCTGATATCGCTTGGAACAATTGTCTTACTTGGAGGTGTCCTTTGCTTGTCGTGGCGCTTAGAGGTCATAGACAGCCATGCGGCTGTGACTGTTGTCGGACCGTCTCAGACTGGCCTGGGACCTGGAATGGCTGTTGTCGAGGAGCACGAAACCTCACCCCTTAGCCTGGGAAGAGACGGCCACGAGGACTTGGAGCGTGAGCCCCTCTTACGCAGTGCTCAATTCCCTCGGCGAAGTATTCACAAGAGGACACCCAGTCTGCCTCCACCTCAGTCTTCCTTGAGTCCACAGGACTCCACGGCAGATCTCGATCCAGCTTCCATCTGGGCAGAGTTGGACGACTCTGACTTTGACTATGCCGCAGCCATGATGCGTTCCTCCAGGCGCAGTCGCACATTTGGAGATCCACCATCGGCCCAATCAAGAAGCAGAATGAGAAGCAGTTTCCGGCGTGGACCTCGCCGCTCCAGCACCCTTTCAGTCAACCAAAATACCTGGAACCCGCGCAGATCCTCCCAAGCCGCACATCAGGGGCATCGCAGCAGGCAACGACGAACATCAGCACCTGCTCCAGAGAACCGCGGACTCCTTGCGAAGCCCCAACCCTACACAACCGGCTACGGCACCCAGGACGACCGCTCAGACAACCTAGTATCAGGGCATCGTCGCCGCGAATCCCTCACCGACGCGGAATTACCAACCGGGTACTCGAATCTCCTCGCAGGTCCGAGGAGCACCCTCCGCGGAGCCTGGAGAAGCGGTCTTCAATACCTCACCCAATGGACCGGAACCAAGCGAGGAAGACGACAGAGCTCATCCAGTCCGGGCCCCGACCTCGAAGCCAGTCCCGATGGACGTACAGAATGAGATTAGATTTTACATTCCGTCTCTTTTTGCACCGCCATTTCATCCCACAATCCCATTTTACCCCAGACTCTTTTGATTATATCCACTAGACCCACACCATAAATACACATCAATGATAACCTACCCCTCTTCTTGATTACTTTCAATCAATGTACAATAACTACCATACCAACATTATCTATCTTTTATACACGCACCCCAACCAATAATCCTATTCCCTTTAATACCTTATTACATAGCATCGCTCCTTATTCACTTCACTTCATGTTTAGTTACCTAGAAACTAAAACGAAAACATGATAAAACCCCTGTCCCCAAATAAAATAAGAATTACAATACATACATAGTCCAGGACAAACTACAAACTTAAATCTCATTCATTCCTTCTTCTTCTTCTTCCCAAAACTACTTTTCCTGCATTATTCATTTTTTTTCCCACATACCTAGTCCTTACATCATAACAGAATTGGATCGCCATGTCACGGGATAACCAGCTAGATATAGATACAGGTGGGTAGATAGATAGGGAAGGGGAGGGGAGGGGGCTGGATAAACATATACCAGGTTACGAGATCTGCCTACAGGATGAGATGAGCTGGCATACTACTATATTCATACTTCCATTTGTATTATTCCATATATTTCATCAGTTCATTTCACTCAATATTAAGTTATCTTTGGGAGATTCTACTACCTACTATCAGCTTGGGTTCTATCAAGGTGTTCTTACTGGTTAAAGTTAGATAGTTAGGGGATGGTGGCCCTGCTTTTATACCATCTACCCTAGTATTGGGTTGGTAGATGACGATGTGCATATATGTACCCATAGATAAGGTCCAGTGGGTGAGGGGCAGAGTGATGATCTACGACTTGCTGCTGACTACTGGCATGGTATGTAGTTATCTATTGAGCAAAGGGTCACATAGGAGTAGCAGCAGAAGGACAAATAATAATAGTTCCGGTTTTCTCCATACCATACATGACATACTTCTTACCCGATGAAGGTTATCCATCCAACATCATATCAAGTTACTCAATCAAATAACACCCCCCATTTCTGCGTCCAACTTATCTCGTGACTCCCGCCCCCCTCTCCCCCTTCTTGCTTCCGGAGCCGTCATTCAAACTTGCCCGCAAGCCAAGGATCATTGTCGAAGGGGGAGGGAAAAGCGCAAGTGACGAGCCTGGCGCAAGGGGGCA